AGAGGCCGATGTCGGGGATAAAGTTTCTTGGAAGGTCTATTAGTCGAGATGAAGGCTTTATTGATGGGTTGTCCATGAAGAGAGCAATCAAGGTTGTTGAGTTAATTCATCTTCTACTACAACTAAGGGTTTCTTATAGTGAGTCTCTTTTACTTCGTTCTTGCATGGGTATCACCAAACTCTTTTTTTACCTTAGAACGTGTCAACATAATCATATGGAGAAAACAGTTATTTGGTTTGATAAAGAGTTGTGAATGACGATTGAAGACATGGTGGTTAACAAATGTCCTTTCTTCGGGGACCTTCAATGAAGGGGGACTTCTTTACCTATTAGTTTTAGGGGATTTGGTTTGTACTCGGCAGTAGAGGTTGCCTCATATGCGTTTGTGGTTTCTAGGGCTCAATCTTGAGTTTTACAGGATCATATTTTGAGAGACAGTAGGATATGTGGTATGAACATTGATTTCGGTAGAGCTTTGGATGATTTTAGTGTTGTGATTCCAGATTTTAACCTTAGAGACTTTATTAGAAAGGACATCATCCCTCCAAAAGCACAGCATGTTTTGTCGAGTTCCCTTTTTAGTAAAAATGTTCAGGATATGAATGTAAAGTTTGAAATGTGCACGAGACAGAAAGCAATTTTTGGTTGTTTGGAAGTATCACATGCTCAGGATTTTCTCCTTGCTATCCCTATTGCTGGTCTAGGCCAACGTATATCCCTGGTAGAATATCGTACAATTCTTAAATACCGACTTATGATTTCTTTATTTCCTATTGATGAGGTTTGCCCTGTTTGCCACAAAGAATGCTTGGATACTTTTGGAGAACACACCATTCATTGTAATGAGCTTTCATGTTTCGGATATCGACATGACTTTGTTAGGGATATCTTATTTGATATATTTAAGCGTGTCGGGATATCTGTGAAGAAAAAGACACCTGTGAATTTTTTGACTGGCCCACAGGAGGAGAGATCGATATTTAGGCTAGCAGATGTTCTGATTTACACGTGGGTTGGTGGAAAACATGCATGCGTAGACTTGACTAGGATTTTCCCATTGGTGGATCTGGACCAGAGATTTTAATGTGGGGCGGGCAACTCTCAAAGCCGCTTCGAGTAAAATGGTCAAGCATGAGAAAACATGTTCCAACCATCAATATAATTTCATACAATTTGCGTTTGACATTTTAATTTTTTTAGCAACAGAAGCAGTTTATAACACCTCTATTTTGACTAATTAATTAACGATTACTTTAATTTTAAATTTTTGATCATGCATCAAATGGTCAAATTTTATTAAATTATTTTAGTCACAATAATACAACGAGGTTCTAAATGATTGTTCTTAATTATTAGAAGATGTTGAATTATTAATTTCTAAATTGGTAACATATTTATTTGATGTAGAGTAATATATAATATTTAGTAATTAAATTAAAGTGTAGAATAATTTTAAAAAAAAATTAAAATATATTATTATAACCAAATATAAATAGTAGCATGACGTGGAGGGACCGTAGAATGAATCATGTGATTGTGTTAGTCATATGAATATTAATATTAATAAAATACAACTAAGTCAATTATCTCTCAACTGATTCCACAATATTCTCTCATCATCCTCATTTTCTCTCAACTTCTGCCACAAAAACTTCACGCAGAAATTATTTACATCACCCAACACTTCACAGAAAAATAATTCCTAATTACCGGTAAGTTGCAATAGGGATAAACTCTCCTACTATTATTCTTGAGAACCTTCTTTGAAGTGGTCGTTAGTGTAAATCAAATTGGAGAATTTTGTCACTTTAAGGTAAAGGCTTTTCCTCCCTGAAAATTATAAACTAGACTTGAGTTAGGAGTTGGGTACATGTAATATAGGTATTTTATTGTTTAAAATTTGAAATAATTGAAAACTAAAATTTAAAATAATTGGTAACATCATGTTTGGATAACCCTGAAGCATTATTTTTGGTATAAAGTAGAATTTGGCTCACTGTGCGAAAATTGATTAATTTTTTTATTTATGTTTAGTTTTTCTACTGTGGTTGTTGTCTTTGTATTAATTTGATTTAATAGTAAATTGAGCACTGTGCAAAAATTTCTTAATTTTTCTAATTATGTTTAGTTCTCATATTATGGATGTTGTCTATTTATTAATTTATTTTAATAACAAGAGTGGTCCCTAATTTCAAGTCATGAACCTGGAACACAGAGGTGACTCATATCAGGACTATGGATACAAAATTTAATAAGTAGTTATTATTTGTTTGACTTCAATTGTATAAGTGGATGTATGTGATATATGACTATTTATTTGCTTTGACATGTGAGTACTTGATGCATGTGTGAGTTGTTTATGGGTATTACTGGTAGGAAGTATAAGTATATGGTGTCTGTACCGAGCCATAGCATTTGAGAGCATGAAACCGAAACAGAAGAGGAATATTAGTTGCATTGGTATAGTCATATTCTATATAGAGAAATATTAGTTGCATTGGTATAGTCATATTATATATAGAGAAATATTATGAATTGTGTTATTTGATTTCCAAGTTACTTTTACTTGTGGTTGTGTAAGTTGCGGGATTTGTCTTAGCGGTGGAAATTACATTTTATCAACATGACATGTCATATGTAATTATGTGTGATGCCTTAGTGATGGGTTGAAATATCTGAATCATGTAGTTTAAGAGCATTCACATGTTGCATATAACACTTTGTGGTTGTTGTTGTTGGGGTTAGTCTTGAGTTGATTACTTTATTACTTTATGTGTATGACATTATGGTTATAGTTCGATATTAATAAATTTGATGAATTTTTCAATTATTTATTTCTCTCGGACATGATATGTATATTATATCTGTCTGATTATTTTAACTCTCGTTTAATTTATTTTTAACATGCATTGTGGTTAATGGAAACTGACCCTTACAACAATATTTTAAGTGTTTTCAAAGTGATTGATGTTTGCTTATCGTGTGATCGCGGGAAAGAAGAGTTTAAAACATTATGTAAAATAATTTGACCGCGCGATATTTTGAAATTATTTATTTAGTATTTCTTTTCAAGTATTTTAATAATTTATGAGTTATGTTTTGGATGAAAATTTAAAATGTTATAAAATTGATCTTTTACATAGAGTGTAAAAGTTCGTGCATCGCAATGTCGCATTTGTTAAGACAATAAATATAATTTTTAAGAGAATTAGTTTAATGACGCAATTTATTTTCCAATTGCCTGATCTTTCTATATAATTTTGACTATATTATTTTAAATAAAAATGTATTTATAAAAAAACTTTGTTGCTTGCTACATAAAACAAGCTACAAGAAAGTCTTAATGAATACTTTAAATTTAGCCAGAAATTATGATATTTTCCAATTATAGTTTACAATTACATGTGCTTCTTATATATCCTTGCCACAACAGAACAGAAGCAATCATTTCTTATAAAAATATTAGTTGCATTGGTATAGTCATATACGATGTATAGTCGTTTACAGTAGCTAGGAAAGCACGATATTAGAATAAATAGATTTAAATATAATTAGTTTATAATATAATGTATTATATACATGTACCTATGACATACACTCTGTTAGGAATTTAGTGGACATCTATTTTAAATGATTGTAGTTATCAGATAATCTCTTAAATTAAGTTATGAATTGGGTTATTTGATTTTTGAGTTAGTGGTTGTCTAAGTTGCGGGATTTGTCTTAGTGGTAGAAATTGTATTTTATTATTATAATATGTCATATGTATTTCTGTGTGATGACTTAGTGGCGGGTTATTTTTCTCATTTTTATAGAATGAATTACGTGTGGTACCTTAATGACGGGCTGAAATATAAGAGAGCATTCACATGTTGCATATAACACTTTGTGGTTATTGTTGTTAAGGTTAGTCTTGATTTGATTACTTTATGTGTATGACGTTATGATTATAGTTCGATATTAATAAATTTGATGAATTTTTCAATTATTTATTTCTCTTGGATATGATATGTATATTATATTTGTTTGATTTTTTTTTTAACATGGACTGTGGTTAATGGAAATTGACCCTTACAACAACATTTTAGGTACAAATATGGAGTTTTCAAAGCGATTGATGCTTGCTTAACATGTGATTGCGGGCAAAAAAAAGTTTAAAACAACATTACGTAGAATAATTTGACCGCGCGATATTTTGAAATTATTTATTTAGTATTTCTTTTTATTGAATTCGAAGCGCGGTGATTTTTCCACTTAGAAAATTGGATTGATGTTGAATTGTTTAAAATTTTAAACTATTTAATTATGTTTCAGACAAGTATTTTAATAATTTATGAGTTATGTTTTGGATGAAAATCTATTTAATTATGTTTCAGACAAGTATTTTAATAATTTATGAGTTATGTTTTGGATGAAAATCTAGAGCGTTATAAAATTGATCTTTTACATAGATTGTAAAAGTTCGTGCATCGCAATGTCGCATTTGTTAAGATAATAAATATAATTTTTAAGAGAATTAGTTTAATGAGGCAATTTATTTTCTAATTGCTTGCTCTTTCTATATGATTTTGACTATATTATTTTAAATAAATTATATTTATAAAAAAACTTTGTTGCTTGCTACCTAAAACAAGGCTACAAAAAATCTGAATGAATACTTTATATTTAGCCAGAAGTTATGATATTTTGCAATTATAATTTACAATTACATGTGCTTCTTATATATCCTTGCCACAACAGAACAGAAGCAATCATTTCTTATAAAAATATTTTACAGCTTCTTCAGTAATAATCATCAAGATCTGTATTATCCACCTGCAAGTTGTAGTTGGTATTTTAACATCACAAAGATGAAGAATGAATTTCCATATCAAACAAAAGTATATTCGCATGGAGTCAACAAAAACTGATCTATTGGATCATGTCATTTAGCTTTAATAAGTTAAAATCACAATAACCATAGTCATAAACATGACAAAAACAAGAAAACAAAAAATAATTAATTACGCATTCCTCCTATATGAAGAGAACTCTTCTTGTACTTTCCTATTTGACAACCAAAATCCCATGGATTAACACCAAGATCCTGTTCAATCATCTTAGTATCTAAATCAATGCAGGCTAGTTTACCATCGGTTTTCTTAAAGAACACTATATTGTTTTTTATCCCAACTCCGATGGGATACTGGATGAAAGATAGGTTGTTAATAACATAGAGTTTAGTCCATGATTCTCTAACACCGAGTTCCCCCAAAATTGAAATATGAAAAGTACTAGTCTTGATGTAAGTTGATATCAATGCAATTGACTCATTGAAAAGCACCAAGTGTTTCTCCACGTGTTCATATTTCTCGACGTGTTCAACGCAACAAGGACGAGGACTAACGTCCAAGTATGAGGGAGCTGGTGTGGTAAACAAAACCTCATTGCTAAAATCAAATGATACCAAGCATTCTTCAACTTCAAATTGATAATATGATCTACCCCACCAATGAGAAACTCCTTTCACGTACACTCCGATACTTCGAGCTAGCGTATAGTAATGATGCTTTGCTATAGAAATATCAAGTGTTTTCCATGAATTGTTTTTCAGAGAATATAACTCCCAAGAGCCTTGGTGAGATGATTTCTTTTCAATAGAATCATTATTTAAGAAACGATAATCTATCAATTGAACCACTTTATAGTCGTCTGTTAAGGAATCATAACCAAATCCACAGACAACATACTGATAAGATGGCGCAGACTTAAGACGACTGCAAGGGATGACCTTAGATTCACCGGTGGTTGGATTCCACAGCACAGGCTTTCCGTTGTAGTTTTGTTTGAGACAGAAAACACCATTAATACTAACAGAACCCAAAATATAAATATCATCATTATTTTCTCGAAATGGATGTGGCCAATCGATTTTCACCCTATTTTTAAACACTCCGCCAGGTAGTAAATAAAACTCAGAGGGAGTTGTGTATTCATCTTTAGAATATTGTAGGATGAAATATGTATCATCATAATCCTTACTAACACACATCAAATTGTTATTGTTGTTAAACATGTTCATGAAATAAGAGTTTTGTAACAAGAGTGACCATGACTTGGATACACATTCAAATCGTTTCAATGATTTCAAAGGCAATATTGAGAGAATACAGAATGTGATATCATCAGGTATATAGTTTCTAACCTTTTTGCTCGTGAAAACCATTGCCTCGGATTCTTCCTTTTCAAATTCCTCTGAAAAAGTAACCCTGGAATGAGATTGAGAGAAAGGTGTACTGCAGTTCCGAATATATAATCCAACGGGGAAAGCCATGTCTCCAATTCCTTCCTCTCTCTCTGTAAACCTAGGTCTGAAGAAGAAGAATATGTTTCTTACGCTGTATGTAATTCTGTTAGGGTTTGGGTAACTGAATGCAATGGACCGTTATGGGCCTTCGTCCTTTTCTCAAAAACTTTCCTTCATGTGTCTCAAAATACAAACACAAACGGATATTTTGATTTAATTTTTATTTTAATATAAAATATTTTTACACAAAATACACACAGACCGATATTTTGATTTAATTTTTATTTTAATATAAATTATTTTTATAATGAACTTTATGATATATAATGTTTGTTTGTCTTCGTTTTGAAACTGTATTTCTGTACCGTATTTTTTTATAATTTGTTTTATATATCCTCATAAAAATAATATTATTTGGACACATTTACTAAAAAAAAAAAAAAGTAAAATGACAAATTTTTATAGAATAATCAACACTAAAAAATGATTTCTCCTTCATTTCGCAATCCTCTGAATAATAAAAATAGATTTTTTATCACTATTTTCTCTTCCCTATTTTTAAATATATATTATAATAATAATGTTTTGAGTAGGGGTAGCAAAACGGACTCAGTCTGTTGGGCATGTCCATTTTGTCTGCACTTTAGTGCGGGGCGGGACAAGGTTTTAGGTCCTCACCTTTTAATGTGTCCGCCCCGTCCTGCCCTGATTTATTTGAAGGCTTTTGTGGGGACGAGTCTTTATATACAATTTTGTATTTTTAGACTTAAAAGGTATAGTGGCCGCGTGCTTTCCTCGTTCCGCGCTCACTTTTTTGCGGGGTGAGTCTAAGTTTTAGGCTCACATTCTCAACTATGATCCTTCTCTCTCGTCATATTTTTTGACAGGCTTTTGCGGGGCAGGCATGCCCGTTTACCACCCCTAGTTTTGACACTTGATGTCTACGCTACATCAAAACCGTATTTATATATGTTGTAGTGTAGACATCAAGTGTCAAAATAACTTAACTAAAAAAAATATGACTCAGTGTCATTATTTAAGACCTATAGACCAGATGAGTATCCTTTGGCCTCTATTACACCAACAATGATATAATCTTTCTTCTCCCATAATCTCTTAGAAGGATCAATTATTGAACGGGTTTAACACAAAACAACTACATCAAACTTAAACACGTTGAAATTTCTCGCACATGAAAATGACTCTTGCGACTAACAAAGCCCATCATATTCCATGCTAGAATTTGCAAGTCTTAAAAACCAATCATGAAGAGATAAATGATGTTTGAAGTATTAGGTATAAGCATTTTTTTTAAAACATGGATCAAATCGGCCATTTCAACCCGTTTAATCTTAGATCTCCTATTCGACCATAAATGTTTGTAAGTCGGATATGTGGAATTAACTCAATTTGGAATTAATTGACACCAATTTGTGAAAACTAAAATGAAGACACCATTGATAGAAGAATAAAAGCTTGTATTGCTTAATCATGAAAATAGTTATTACAAATATGATTCTACAATAATCAAGCACTCCACATACATATCATCTATAGTTGGTTATTGCACTAAATAACTCATAATAACTTGTAACAACCAATACATGTTAGTTATTGTTAACCTATGTTATAGATCATATAGTCTTGAGCTGACTTGTTGAGTAAGTAACTACATTATTCACCATCATTCTTCATACTTAACACCCCCTCAAGCTAGAGAATATGTTCATCATTCCTATATTGCTTTGAAGATTGTTGAATGGTCCTATATGTAGTGACTTAGTCATGATATCAACAACTTGGTATTTTGATACAATTGGAAGCAAGTAGGGCTAAAAATGAGTCGAGTCAAGTCGAACTCACCTCAGCTCGGCTCGACTCGTTACAAATTGTTCGAATTCGAGTTCGACACGAACTATTTTTTAAGCTCAAACTTGACTCGTTATAAGTTCACGAACAGTTCGATTCAACTCGTTAAGTTCATCTCATTAGGTTCAACTCACATGATTCACGGACTTAAAAACTATTTTTTAAAAAAAATATATTTTTTAATATATTTGACATTTTAAATAAATATATATTTTTAAAATAAAATATTAAAATAAAATAAAATTTATCATATTGAAATTTAACTTTATCTTCGAAATCTACTAATTTAAAACCTACACAACTTTCATGAGATACATTTGAGAGTCTAATTTAAAAACTACTAAATTGAAGATTAAATTTGGCTAAGATTTGGAGTAAATATTTAAACCTAATCTTAAAGACAGTATAATTCTTCTCATATGTAATCGAGTTGACTCATGAACCTAACGAGTCGAACTATGTATAGTTCAAGTTCATCCCATTTAGTTAACGAACTTAATTTTTCGCTCATACTCAACTCATTTGGTTCATGAACCTAATTCAACGATTTAATTGTCGAATCGAATTCCGAACTATTTTCGAGTTGGTTTGGTTCATTACCAGTCCTGTGAAGAACTCTCGCTCAAACCTTGTCTCTTACCACATAATAATCTATCTCAATGTGTTTAGTTCTCTCATGAAATAATGGATTTGCAGCTATGTGAAGGGTTGACTTGTTGTCACAGTAAATCACAAAAGGAGAAGAAAGTTTGATGTGGAAATCTTGCAGTAAATACATGATCCATTTTGCCCTTAGTTAACTTGTATTTATTTACATTAATAATAATACCAATATATTCATATTATATACTATTATTTAAATAAATAATCTAAAATCTATAATTCTCAATATTTCACACCAGTCACCGAAAATCACCAAAAATACGAATATTCATATTTAAATAAATTAAATAAATATTCTAATAAATTTGGGGTGTTACAATATGCATGATCACGCTACTGCCCCTACTTGGATTCTTACCCTAACTTCACATGGTTGGCCTTTTGAAATGTGTTTTACATGAGTTATGTACGGGAAATTGTTTGAGTACTAATTTGATGCATGTCTTGTGTGCTTTTACTCCTCTCCTAATCTTTTATATGATTTGAACATGATGTGATATTTCTACTGCCTTAACTTGTTCTTTATCTTATTTTATCTCACTTGATTTGGTTTTCTAAGTGTTGAAGCTAAATTCTTGACATGTATGTGTATGCATTGCTTGCTTGACATTGTTTAGGTTCTTTGACTTTCTTTGATCCTTTTCTTTGATGAATTAAGATTTCTTTGACAACTTCCTTCTCCTCATCTCTTCTTTTTCCTTTTGGGTTTGGAACTCACTTTTGTTGTTGTGATTGAGCTAGCTTGTTTAATGTTTACTTGTGCTAGATCACGTGCTCCCTTAGGGCTCCTAGTTTGAACTTAATTTTTGATTAGGTTCAAAGTAGAATAGACATTAGGCTCTTAATCCTTTGCATGAAAACATTAAGGTAGTCCCTTTGAACCTCAACCTTAGGTCCATCATTTGTATTAACATTAGGTAGAATTCTCTTCTCATCCTCAACTATAGGGCTATATTGCATGACAACATCTAGGTGAGTTTCCCCTAGATCTTCTTTTTCCCTTTGAGTCTTCTTTCTCATCTAAAAAAAATCAAAACACTTAATAAATACGATGAGTATTATGCGCCATAAGCCTAAAGTATATGAGAAATGATAAGCGGGAGTCTCTCCTTACCATGTATAGAGTGTTTTGTATATGTCCCATCTTGGGTCGATCTTACAAAACATTTGATCGTATGTCATAGACTTTAGTGCAATACGAATCTCAAACTAATTCAATTCACTTCTGTCAAAACTCACAAAAAACTGCAAATCATTTTGTCCTTCGGGATGTTTCATCAATCAATTTTAAAAAGAGTAAGTTATTTCCGTTCTACCGCAAATAGGCATTGACCCTAACTGTTGGAACGCAAACTTAACGTCACTCATAAAAACACGTAACCAATCTGTGTTTTTATCCACGAACTACGGACGTTCTGACTTTCTCATTCTCGTCCGAATGAGGATATGTAGGCACAAGACGACGAAGTCTTCGTGAGCATCATTCTCCCATTTCCGTAGTCTACGAACTACGCACGCTCTGAATTCATCATTCTCGTCCGAATAAGGATACGTAGGTACAAGACGGCAAAGTCATGGCGAGAAACCTTCCCGCATTCACCCGTAGTCCTCCAAATTACGACGACTCTGACTTTCCCATTGCACGAGGGAATACGTAGGCCTAGGTCGGCGAAGTCCTATCGAGTATCCTTTTTTTCTTCCTTTCTCATTTCCGTTAGTAGTAGGCTTTAGATAGACACACCCTTTGATTAGAACAAAAAGTGTGGATCCTGTTGAGTACAACGGACGCGAGGAGGTGCTAATACCTTTCTCTCACGTAATCAAATCCCGAACCCAAGATTTGGTTGTGATGACCATGTCTTCTCCCTTTTGAGGTTTCTTCGATCATTTCCTTTCCCCCGTCGGGATAAATAATGTTCGCTGGCGACTCTGTTTTTCCGCCGATTTTTTTTCGCTGCGACAATATGCTCTTGAGATCTTGAAGATGTGCGAAATAGAGCATTGTAATTCGGCCATTGCACCATGTGAAGCAAGGTTGTAGCTGTTCAAGAGTGAGGATGAGCAAGATGTGGATCCAACGGAATATAGTAGATTGATTAGATCATTGCGGTATTTGTGCAATATGCGACCGGACTTGGCGTTTAGTGTCAGTATTGCTAGTAGATTCACGGAGAGACCAACCGTGTCTCACTTGATAGCGGTCAAGAGGATCCTTAGATATGTTAAAGAAACTCTTGGCTGTGAAATTCTCTTGGTAGGACGCTAATCTCTTGGTGTTCAAAGAATGAAGTGGTGGTAGCACCCTCGTCTTGTGAGGCCGAGCATATTGTGGCATCGTTATATGTGTGTCAAGCTATGTAGCTCGCGAATCTATTGAAGGAGTTGGG